GTAATCTAAGAGTTTGATTCACTGTTAATACACTTAGCGAATGGCACTAATGGTAGTTCCAAGGAAACTCTTCTGCAATATGAACATTTTTTAAATCAGAAAACAGTATTTATACCATTTACTTCTGAAGCACTTGAGCATGTTGCAATAGAAAATTATCCAAAAGAAAATGTATTTTTTTATGTTTTTCATAATGAAAAAAATGTTTATCTAGACATCAATGTCCCACTTGTGAATCTTATGCAAATAAAACTAATGAAATAACAGTGGAAACAATGCACACCAAGACACTTCTCGTCACCTAAATGTTTAATTTATACGCCATTTTATACACAATTTTAACTGTTTTGTCGATTTTTTAATGTTATCAACTTACATAATATTTTATAGTTTTCAATAGTTATAAGTGCTACCTTCAACCACCTACAATTGACAAAAAATGATGAAAAATCGTTTTATAAAAAAAAACTCCTCGTGTAATTTTCTTATAAGGCCTAATAAAATTTGGAAACGACTGCTATTTAAAGAAAAGTTTTTTATTTGTCCCCAACACGTGATCCACTATATAAATAAATACACACTTATTTTCCTGCGCCTAGCAATAATCGAATATCCTGCACCTTTTCCGGAATTTCCACTAAATTAATTTAATCAATTTTCATAAACAATTTCTGTGAATCGGAAAATCAAGTTTGTCAGTCGGGTTGCCAGGGCGTCCCGACTTTTTTTTGTAATAACAAAAAAACACAGTCACAATGTAGATGAGGAAGAACAAACTAAATTGTACTTAAATGAACGAAGAAGAATTTTTGAAAATGAAAAAACACAGATACCATCCACTTCAACATTTTGCAATTTTTGTAAAACCCCAGGTCATACAATAGTCGTAAAAAATCTAATCAAAATCCCCAAACACATAAATTTCAAAATCACCACTCATTCAATACTCAAGATTGTAGTTTCTGCAAAATTCCGGGACACGATTTCAAAAAATTGTCGAAAATGAACTAAACAACCACAAATGTCATCGTCAAACCAACAACAATTCACTTTTCAGAACTCTAATAATCCTAGAAATATAAATCATTTAAACTTTGCAATGGTTCCGGATTCAGAGGACGACCTGAACCAAGAAACTACCGAGTCCTCGCAAACAGTCGACTCAATCAAACGAATTCAGCCAATTAACTATATAATAAAAAGTAAAAATAACAATCAGAATCATAACATCAATCATAACAAAGGTAATTCACTAGAATTAAATGATCACATTTCTAGATTAAAAGAACTATTTCGACGACTAAGAAAATATAATTTAAAAATTCAACCAGACAAATGTGAATTTTTGCGTAAAGAAGTAGCACATTTAGGGCATATTATATCAGATAAAGGTTAAAACCAAACCCTGAAAAAGTCAAAGCTGTTTTGAACTACCCGTTACCCAAAAACCAAAAAAGACATAAAAACATTTTAGGACTAGCAAGATACTTTAGACGCCGAATATTCAAAAATCATTAACAAATTTATTAAAAAAAGACGTGCCTTTTGTCATTGATAAAAATGTGGCTTTGATACTTGTAAAAACCTTCTAACTAGTGCACCAATCCTTCAGTATCCTGATGTTGAACAAAAAATTTTGTTAAGAACTGATGTTTCAGCTTTTGTAACAGTATTATCACCAGAGAATCCTGCTCTGGTTTCATATAATTTTAAAGGAAAATATTTACATTGTTTGAAAAAGGCTGTAAATCAAAGAAGTCCGGGATATTATACTAGTAAATATGTAAACAAAAAATAAAGCAAATAATTTAAAACGAAAATTAAATAAAAATAATGACAACAATCTAGTAAACAGAAGAAAAATTACTGAAGAAGCGGATGGTGATTATGGTTGTGTAATCGACCAGGTTAATATTGAAGAAACATGCAAAGATGTTTTGAAAAAAATTGTAAACCTCCTGAAAAAAAATTAAGATAATTTATCAAACAATTGAGCAGGTAAATTCATCGACCTGGTTGATTGAAAGTAAACGGTGCATTACATCTTCTAATTTCGGGAAAATTTTCAAGTTACAAAAATCAAGAAATCCCATCAAAACTGTAAAAAACATAATGAATCCGGAGTTTACAGGAAATTATTACACACATTACGGCAGTGCCAACGAAAATAACGCTGTTGATGATTTTGTAGCAATAATTGGCAAATCGGCAAAAAAATCTGGACTATTTATTTAAAAAGACCATCCGTTCCTAGCGGCAACGCCAGATAGATTGTTGGACGAAGATAGTCTTATTAACCAATGCAATAAAATGTCCATAAAATTCGAAGGATATGACACTCAAAGATGCAATAATACAAAAATAAATTAATTTGCAACACTTGTAAATAATGTTTTTCATTTGAAACGAAATGATAAGTATTACCAACTTTTTGTTACTGGCAGAGAATACTGTTATTTTGTTGTATGGAGTAAGAATGGTCTTGTATTTGAAAAAATAGAACAAAATGATGAGTGTTGGAAAAAAATGTTGCCTAAATTAGCAACATTTTATTACAATCACTATTTATCAGCTTATGCTGAAATGTGTTTGCTCTATGTAAAGTACAGCCGCTTGCAAAAAATGTTGGTCGTCATTGTTTCAAATGAACTCTATTCATTGTGTTAAAAATAACATTCACCAATTATTGATTACGACTATACATAATATACAGGGTGTTCCGTCGAAACCCCACATTAGAAGTATTGGGAGTTGGAATAATCGTATTTATTAGAAAATTGGTACATAGTCATTAAGTCCTCCTCAATTAAAATATTTTTACGATGGCGGCACTTCCGGTTATACCGGAAGTGGGTCTCACCTTTGTTATTTTTAATGGAGAGGTATATTTTTTACTGCGTTTTTGGATTAATTGGGTTATTTTAAGAGAGTTTTTATCAGCTCTCCTTATACCTAATTTTAGCCGTTTTTGAAATATTTGGAGTTTTTCAAAAAAATTTGGATTTGCACCTTCCACTTTAAAAATCGGTAACTCTGCCATTTTTTAAGATTTTAAATAAATAATAATATAAGAAGGTTCTTCTCCATGGTCAGCACTAGTCATCCTTATCGATAAGAAGATACATCCCGGCGGAGATACCGAATTTCGCCTTTGCATCGATTATAGAGAACTGAATAAAATCACTAAACCAGATTTCTTTCCTCTGCCAATACTACCAAAAACAATTGATCAACTAACCGGAGCTTCATTATTTTCAATTAAGGATATGGCCAGTGGGTATTTTCAAGTTGAACTTCACCCAGATGATAGAGAATAAAGTGCCTTCAGTACACCTACGGGACACTACGAATTTAAAAGAATGGCAATGGGTCTTCGAAATGCACCCAGTACATAGCAACGCCTCATGTACTCAGTCTACTCAGGATTAGTTGGACTTGAATACTTGATCTACTTAGATGATGTTATTGTTTTTAGTACCTCAGATTTTAAGCAACACTCACAACGCCTACGAGATGTATTTGACAGGATGAGACAAGCAAATCTTAAATTAAAATCAACCAAATGTAAATTTCTCATGAAAGAAGCCAAATATCTTGGACGCATCATTTCAGCAGAAGGGGTAAATACCGACCCAGAGAAAACAAAGATCGTATCCGCATATCCAGTACCAAAAAACCCAAAAGGGGTCAGAGCCTTCTTGAGATCATGCGGATTCTACCTGTTTATACCAAATATTGCCACCATTGTAAAGCCTCTAATTCAGTTAACAAAGAAAGATGTAAATTATCAATGGGATCAAGAGCAAGAAATCGCCTTTAACACCCTCAAACAAGCCCACCTGTTTTAAAATACCCCGACTTTAGAAGACCATTCATTTTGGCAACTGATGCTTCAAGAATAGCCATCAGTGCTGTCTTTTGACAAAAATACGAAATCGAACATCCCGTTTGTTATGCCAGCAGATGTCTTAAAGATCCGGATACTAGATCACCATCGAAAGGGAAGCACTCGCCATAGTTTGGGCTGTGAAATACTTCCGATGTTATCTGATAGGAACAAAATTTACCATCATCACACCCCACAGACTACTAAGATAACTTTTAACCATTATAGAGCCAAGTTCACGATTGGCAAGATGGGCTATGACATTAGCCCAATTCGACTTTGAAGTACAATATTATCCAGGAAAACAACGACATGTAGACACTTTCACTAGAATCGACTATCCTGATGAAACAGAAGAACTGATACGAAACATCGACGCCTATTGTACTCCCATCGTATACCACTTCGAGGCAATTAAAAACACTCAACAAGAGATCTTAATGTTGCCAAGCTACTCTAACAAGAAGGATTCTACCAAGCACCGAACGAAATGTCTTGTTTCCCATTATTTTTTTATTAGTTCAATGTGTTTTCTTTTTCCTTCTCATTACTAAAATATTGGCAAAATACAGTTGAAAGCAAAAGTAATTTGGAAATTCCGAACGTGTCAAATGCAATGCCAGATGTTGGGACCTTTGGTGATTTTATTTTTCTCCGGGACCAATCATTGTATCTTATTAGTTCTACCCTTATGGGAAAGTGACATATTTTTGGAGTATGAGACTAGGTCTTGATTTCATTTAGTTCTGAAGATCTAAGCTGAACAGACATCATGAGCAGCAAGTACAAAAATTTGTGTAATGATTTTTTTTTATATTCGTATGTTTAGGATTTTATTACCTAAATTCTTTGAAAAAAAATATTTATTCTATTTTTGTTAATATTCCTAAGAAATTTTTGATTTAAAATGTTTAAAATTTGCCTTTAGTTATCGCATGTCTGATTCGGAATAAAGCTAACTAATTTGTAATAAAAAAAAAAATATTATTTTTATAAATGTCCTTATATTTAGTCACTTTGATCCTAATGTTTTGCTCTGAACACTTTATTACCGAAATTTGATTTATTAATTTAATTTAGATTTAAAAAAAAATAATTTATTTTCTATTTTTAGGTGGAGGTAGGCCCGCCGGCTATTTGAATGATTACATGGAGCTGATAGCTGACCCCCAATTCGACATTTGGGAAGTAGACCGCATTATGGATTTGGTGCCGATCACCATTCTGGAGACGGCAGACCGGGTCGTCATTAAGTGGTTGGAACGGCCGCCCTCCTTCACTCGGCGGTGGGCTCATCAAGGTGACCTGGGAGCCTTTTCGTCCCTTAGAGGCCATATTTGTACCGTGTGGGCCTGGCGAGTGCCCTCTCTTTACTAATTCTAATTGTAACACAAAATTTACATGTTTTTTTTGTTCTTTGTATGAATAAATGGTGTTGATAAGTTATTTCTTGCGTCATTTTAATAACCCAACATCTCCGTAGTTCCCATAAACGTTTAATATTTTAAACAAACCAACAAAAAAAAATAACAAAACAAAAAACGCACATCTGTGCGAGTAGTTAATTTTGCCCCTAATTCATTCTCATCATTAAATGCGTTTCTTTTATTTCCAAGGTATTAAGTGATCTGATCTTTCCCAGAAGTAATTGTGAATACTACTGACTAAGCGGGTAATTAAAAACCTATTGATAAGAATGTTGAATTCTTTTACGGTCCGAGCGGGTTGCGCCACAAGAAGAATAAAATTTGTTTGAGGTAGGTTCTCCAGCGTTACTTTGTGGAGCCAATTACTTTGGGAAGATAAAGGATTTAAGCAGTCAAAATTCATGTGTTCGAAAATATTATTAACAATTTATTAAACTAATAATTAAGGATTTGGAAAGTATTACAAAGTAAAATTAAAAGAGAAAATTTACGTCTAGCGAAAACCCTTCTCAGTTAAGGGGCTACGCTACGTTAAAGATTAATAAAAACAATTAATTCAAATGAAATGTTACTAGCTAAGTCCAATAAAAATTAAGATAAACGAACAAACTATTTTAGCGTCTAATAACGAAGTCCAATTTTCATTATTTGATTTACTAGGTTCTAGGGTAATCCAATAAGTAAAAGTGGGTGAAACCAAAATGATTATAAAATAAATCGAAAACTAGTGCAATTCAGAGGCAAGAGGAGAAATAGTTCCAGGAAAGGTACAATCATTCAACAGCCGAAACCACGTGGTTTCGGTTTAAACACCTCGAATTACCAGATAACTCGCCCCATAATTCTTAAATGAATTTCACTGTTATTTGTGTTGAGTTACAAGCCATTATGTATGTCGTCATTGTAAGAGCAAGGCGAAGTTAAATTGAATAAGACTTACAGTTCATCATCATCTGAGCAATTGTGGAATCAGCAAATGATCGAGTTCAGCCAGGTAACGGAAGCAGCACTCAGTCGGAATTTAGCAGGGTGGCACTTTGTCACACACTCAATCGCACAGCACGACACTATGATCAAGATTGAATTGAATTTTGATTGAGTCTTGGATCATATATATATATATATATATATATGATATATATATAGGTTGCCCTTTTGTGTCCCCATTTCCTGGTAAATGAGATTACTTGGAATTTTTAGATAATTTTTATGGTTTGTAATTAAATAAAATTTTCTTTATCTTAGCCGTACCCTGCTTCACTTTTGACCCTTACATCCTGGATAAACTCGTTATCAAGAGGTTTTCAAGAATTTTGTTCTAATTTTGGTAACAAATTGACATGTCCCAGACAGTTTATGGATTTTGTTATGTTATTTAAATGAAATGCTGTTGAAAATCCATATTGTAAATGTGGTCAAGTGGAAGAATCTGTACAACATATTGTCGAAGAGTGTCGACTTACGAGTTTTCAAGGAGGCTTCACCGAAATTCATGAGTTGTCGCCAAGAAACTAAAACTTGGTTATCTACTTTCAAAACTTTATAATTTCATTTATGTACTTTTTTTATGTAGTGTCATACGAATATATATATATGGATTTTGGTGATTCTTTGACCCTAGATAGTGTGGGATAGTTTGTTTATCAATTTGCTTCGTACTATTTATTGGGGTGACCACTTAGTTGGGGTGGCTGACTTGTAACCTTTGGGCGGATAAGCCGCTAATATGCTATTTTTGTTCCTGGGAAAATTTCCTTATCGACTGAACTTTTATGGGGGTTGTCTCGTGACCTTTGTGGGTGGATATGAGTTTTAATTGTTATTTAAATTAAATCGTTGTCTTCTCTTGTTTACGTGATTGTTCCTTTCCTTTCAATTTAATAATCAAATTAGGTGGGTCAATTTGACCCACCACATGTTTTTATAATACTTTATCATCCAATAATTACTCTCATCAAAAATAAAATAAAAATAGTTTGTTTTTCATATTTTTTCTCAACTGGCAGTTATAGGGGGATCAGTAAGTGAACATCACCCACTAATTGAACAGATCCTCTGTTTTCCCTTAATAATAAGGTCCAGAGCAACCAAATTCATTTCATTTCTTTTTCTAATGCAATTATGTTCAGTTTCTAACATTCATTAGTGTTTTGTGACCATTATTGAGCACGTTCACTGTACAAGAGCGTGCCATATTGCCGACATTTATAGAAAAGGTAAGTAGTGTAGTACGATTAGTAAAACGCGTGTTAATAAGAAAAGAAACCAAAATGACTATGAGTCAAAAAAGTTTTTCCTCATATAAAATTGTTGAACAATATTCTCCACCTAAAAGGCCATACCCTGCCCGCCGAAAGTGAATACCTGAGCACCAAATTCAAATGGAAACAAAATGGCCCAAAAGTCGTGATCGTCATCGAAGTGGTTAGGAACCTACGTTGAGTTTGTAAAAAATTGGCGGGCAAATTGTTCGAATGCGCATGCGTGAGATTCAAATTGGAAAGGGCACGAATAAAACTCAAATTGCAGTCATATAAAACAACCAAGAATATCAAAGTGATGTGTGAATGAAAAAAAAAAAAACCAAACGACAACACAAAAGTTATGAACAATCAAACAAACGACAAATCCTGAAAAGGAAAACATTAAAAGCTACATAAAACAAAAATTACTCATGATTAATCACAGCAGGAAGAACCGGATAAAACCTTTCTAAAACCGTGTCCAAAAACAATGCTTATTGAATATTATCACACAACAACATAACAAAAAAATAAAATAAAAATACAACATGCAAGACAATTTACAAAACAGTTACGTGGGTTAACAATGGCATAAATTCCTCGAAGTGTTAGGGACGCCGTATACTAGAGGCTCTATTAATTTATCGACTATTTGAGGTTGTTTAAAACGATGGTAACATGGAATTTACTAACAACAACACAAAAACAAAACTGTAGACGAGTTTTACATTTAGATTATGACAGAGTATTGGAGAACTAGGTTGTAACATTGGTTATTATGATAGAAATTCAGTCCAACTGCAATGAAGTTAACGGGCACAAAAAAAATACGAAGTTTGAGAATTTTAATCTTGGCTCTTGTCGTCGGTTCGACTAAGTTACAGCGCGGGTGATTTGAAAACTACAGCGCGGTTGTTTTTGAAAACTACTGTGTGGAACACCTCGCCAAGTCATCCCCTCGGTTCGGCGCCACCTTTTCACTGCAAATTCCCGAGCTAATCCCATAGGCAACTTTCCCAAATCATTCCCGAGGTACTGGTTTCCCGTGGGCAAGCTTTCTTTCTTTCGTATGCAAAAACTTCCGAGCGCATTCCATAAGCAACTTTCCCAAGTCATCCCCGAGGTACTGGTTTCCCGTGGGCTCGCTTCCATTGTTTCGGTGTTTGAGAGAAACAAACCGACAACTTAAGTCACAAGAGATGATAATTTGAAAAATGTTATGAGTTATTTACTGGATTTAAAATTTGTCTATTTCAATTTTCAAATGCACAGGCTATCACAAACTAACAACAGTTTAAATTTACCAACACGTGTAAAACAAAACAAAGACTCGCCTCGACGCCCCCACACAACAAATCTCAAAAATAATTGTTAATAAAAATTTTGAAAACCCTAATTCACATGCACGAATACAAATTAATATGAAACTTAAACGGATTGGAGGTATTTTGATGTATACACCTTACAAACTATACCATGGCGTCCATGACGTCATACCGCGATGGCGGGTTTTATGGCGGGAGATTTCCGACAGCATCTTAGTTACACGGCGTTTTAATTAAAGAATTCAACCCTACCTTGGCAACAATTTCCCTGACAGGCTAATGTCCTGCGAAATTAGGAAATAACACGACTTTTCCAAAAAAAAAAACGCGGTTCACACATGTGGAAAGCCGATCGTCACACCAGGTGTTTTTCCACGTGATCGGTGCTTTAATTGGTTGACAAAACTGAGGGGTTTTACAGGAACTTTGATATTAAGGTAAAACAACAACAAAGCACTTGAGCAAACAAAAGGAAAACTTACAAAAACAAATGATAGGACCACTACACGTCTAGTTCGCTCACTTGTTGATTTGCAAGAGACTGCTGGTTCGTTTCACCCCCGCTTCCGCCCTTTTTCTACCGTTGGGGTGACATCTACTTCCACCCCAGGAAGTGGCGCTAAATTCGAATTCAAATGCGGATATTTCAACGCTATCAAAATGTAGTTTTTATTAGTGGTTCCGAAATATTAGTCCAATCCAAAGAGTGAACACCGTGTTCACTCACGGGCATCTGCGTAGTTTTCAGAAACAGGCTAAAATGATTCTTAAATCAAATTACATGTAAGGTCGAAATATTCCTGGGAACCAACGAACAGTAATTTTACCTCGACACCAGTGATTGAACACCATTTTCATCTGTTCATTTACTGGTGTTCAATCAGTGGTCTAAGTCATTCAAATGTTATAAGCAATGTCTGTTTACATTGAATTATATTTTATTACCTACCATTACCTGTTATAGATGGAGAGCAAATTTTGAGAAGTTTAAATATTATGAAGAGAGCCTCGCCAAAGCTCTTGACGAAATCAGAGCGGGAACATTAACACTAAACAAAGCGTTAGTAACATACAGAATACCAAAGTCGACCCTCCACAATAAATTAACTTCCAAAGTCCCTAACGTGAGAACGATGGGTTCTTCCACAGTTTTAACATTTTTTGAAGAGGACCGTTTGGAAAAGTGGATTTTGGCGAAAGCCAAATTAGGGTTTGCCATGCACCCGGATGACGTGAGAGGTTCGGTTCAAAAAATTCTTACAGAAGAAAAAGAGCAAACCCAGCCGAACTACGGTAACAGAATCTGCTATTCGTAAATAGTTTGATAAACTGAAGAGCTATCTCGAAGAAAATGATGCACTTCAAGTGATCGAAGATCCAAGTCGTATTTTCAATGCGGATGAAATCGGCATGAGAACATGCATGAAATTGGGCTTAGTGTTGGGACCAGC